TTTTTTTTTCTTTTATTTAAAATAAAAAATTCTAATTTAGATTCAATCAATACATTTCTTGATAAATTGCTAACATTAATAAATAAAACAATGGAAGATATATCAAAAATACAATAAAAATATAGGAAAATGCAAAGTTTGTTTTGCTTGTTTTTTCTTTACATGATTTTTTTCGAATTAATATAGAAGTGAATATAATGGGTGTGGGTGCCAATGTAATTCTTACTTACACACACACACACACACCCATATTTTATCCTTCCTCTCTGTCGTTCTTCAAATACTCAGAATAAGAAATTCGAGAAATTAAGCTCCTATTAAGACAGTTATAAAATAGGATTTCGTAGGCAACTTGAAAGTTACAATTCGACAACAAAGTATTAAAAAGAAAACCTTTCTGACTTTAGAAATGAGAGAAAGAAAAGTTCTTCGATAATTTCTTTGAAGAAAACGAAGGTGTTTTTGTCATAAAATGTTATTGTTTATTAGTAACGCTGACAACAATGGCAAACCTTTGCTCTTTTTTTTTTTCGTTCGCCCTTTGTTGCCAGTGAACTTTTTTGTTAATCTATTATTGTTCTTATGACAATATATTGAATAAAAAACAGGTGAAGTCTCTCAATGGTAACAAAAAAACAATAAAATAAAACAATAGCGACGACAAGAAAAGTTTTACTTTCTTTCATTAACATTTCTTTTTCGACTGTTTGATTCAACGACATATACATAATACAAGATGGATTTCAATGAACAAATAAAAAATTGCAATCTCATTGGCATAGTGAGACCTAACAAACATGCTACATCTTTCAAAGGTGCAATTACAACAGTACCATCTGCACACACTAATGTAAAACCATATCGGCCATTTAATTCTCGTGTCGTTCAAAATTTCATTCTTATATGGTTACATTATGGCATTGACGAAATGAATGATAATGAGTTTTGCCATTCAATCAACGAACTACGACGAGTTGTCAATGCCATCAATACGTTTACTGATGTTGATCAATGCATCGATTTTATTACCGACATCCAAGATGAAAAAGTTCTGATGATTATTTCAAATGAATTTAGTCAAGATATTGTGCCTCTCGTACACAATTTAATACAAATCAATTCCATTTATGTCTTTTGTAAGAATGAGTCAAAACAGAAACAATGGCCAAAAGTGAAGGATATCTTCTCTTCAATTTCGTCCATCTGTCAAGTGCTCAAACAAGATGCACAAAAATGTGATCAAGATTCAGTTTCTATCAGTCTTGTTTCAATAAATAGTGGAGAGTCAAATGAAAATTTGGATCAATCGGATCCAATATTTATGTATACACAGATATTGAAAGAAATTTTATTGACAATTGACTTCAATGAACAACATATTAAAGACTTTACCAACTATTATCGCGAAAACTTTGCTGATAATACTGTTCAATTGAATAATATCGACGAATTCGAAAGAGGTTATCATAATCATTGACCTATCTGGTGATATACTCACGAATGCTGCCTTTACTCGGTGCTCAATCGAGCTTTACGTTTGATGGAAGTAGATACTATCATTAAAATGGGCTTCTTCATTCACGATCTTCATCATCAAATCATACAACTACACTCAGAACAATTTAATAAGTACCATCAATTGGAACCATTTACTATCTTCCGAGGTCAGGGTTTACCTAAGACAGACTTTGACAAAATACAAAAAACACAAGGTGGACTGTTATCTTTTAACAATTTTTTGTCTACGAGCAAAGACCTAAGTGTAGCTCTTGGTTTTGCTCATAGTTCTCTTGCTAATCCGACCTCGGTGGGAATTGTCTTCGTGATGAAAATTGATCCTTCAATAAAGTCCACTCCTTTTGCCTGTATCAACGATGTGAGTTATTACAAGACAGAAGAAGAGATTCTATTCTCGATGCATACCGTTTTTCGTATTGACAAGATCAAAGCGATCGATGATGACAATCGTCTATGGCAGGTAGATTTAATACAGACCACTGACAACGATTTACAGCTAAATGATCTTACGGAACGGATACGTAATGAGATTCGAGGATCAACTGAATGGGATAAACTGGATAAATTACTAATCAAACTTGGCCATTTCGATAAGGTCAATGAACTATACGAATTTCTTCTTGATCAAACAAATAATGCTTGTGAGAAAATGCATTTCTATCATCAACTTGGATGGAGTAAGAAGAATCAAAGAAAATATGAGGAGGCAATTACATATTATCAAAAATCGCTTGAAATCAAACAAAAAATCATGCCTTCAAATTATCCTTCGCTTGCTGTTTCCTTTAATGATATCGGTACTGTATATGAAAAGATGAATAAATACACGCAAGCACTTTTGCATTATGAAAAAGGACTTGAAATTCAACAAGCAATACTTCCTTCTAATAATCCTAGCTTGGCATCTTCATATAGCCACATTGGATATATTTACGAAAAATCGGGTGAATACACAGAAGCTCTTTCATTTCATGAAAAAGCACTTGAAATTCGACAAACTATACTGCCTTTAAATAATTCTACCATAGCTTATTCTCACAATAACGTCGGTTCTGTGTATGAAAAGATGGACGAGTATTCGAAAGCACTTTTATCTCACGAGAAAGCACTGGAAATCCAACAAAAAACATTGCCTTCGAAATATCCTGATTTAGCTCAATCTTACAGCAGTATCGGTTATGCGTATGGTAAGATGTGTCAATATTCAAAAGCACGTCAATATCATCAGCGTGCTGTTGATATTGGACAACAATCACTACCACCCAATCATCCTCGTCTTCAACAATGGCGAAAGAACCTCGAATATATAGAAAGAAGATGTAACTGATTTGTTTTTCAAAAATAAAAGTCAGCAAGAAAATATAATCTACATTTATAAAACTCGATATGTTTGAGTTTTTTTGCACAAGATAAAATGATATAATGAATACCGATTATTGTCAAAACAAATCACATTCAAAGCTAATCTCTTGAATCAATGGGAAAAGTAGAGCAGTGAGAAGTAAAGACTAGTCAGTATGAATGAAGTTTTTGGATAGAACCTATAGAATGAACAAAGAATTTATTCGAAATCATTGATAGAAACAGCCAAAAGTTGTTTTTTTTTCTCTCATACCTCTTCCATTAATTGAAATCATCGTATACTCTCTTCTGATGATGCCATTTTACTCATAGTATTTTTTTAAATGTGTGAATCTTTTGGTGATAAAAACATTGACCATAATCGAACTTGGACTACAGTCTCAGGATCATGATGGATGTAGCAGAGATATGCACCGCGTCCAAAATACGACGCTCGGACCGTTCGCTTGAAGCTAAATGAAAGATCTTTTTTGCTGAGTTTTTTCTCTGAATTTATTTCTCTAATGTTTCAGAACAAGTTTCAAGAGATCAAAGAGAAAATCGAAAGAAAGTAAAAGTAAGTTGAATTAATTATTTTGCTTTTGAAAAAATGGTATACTCAGAATCAACATAAAATTCTCGGTAAAACTAGACATATATTCTCTATCGAAAATGATTTTTACATGTTATTGTGAACCTGTATAAGAGATCTGAGAACATCCGAAAAAATCTCTTTTGATTCTACAGAGATCTAATTCTTTCTTGTCGAACACGAAAACCACAAAGAAAGTTTTTCAAGTTTCGTTTTCTTGTTTTTGGGAAAGGCAAGCTTTCTTTTCATTTTCTTTTAGTTTCTTGAAAGAAGGTGAAAATGTCATATCTAGCTCGTACCTTATTTTGATTTTACTTAAAAAAAGACAAAGTAAAATAAAAATAAAATATCGGTCTTACACGAGAAAATACTTGACTTGGATTCTCCAGTTTCAAGTTCAGAAAATAAAAGGTTTAGCCTTTTTATAAATTGGTTGTTTCTGGCAATACTATAAACAGTTCTTTTATATGACTGTGTGTTCAGTGATAGTTATCAAAGCAGAATCTAGAAAACGGTGAGAGATGATGGTTAGATCGAATTTAGTCGAGAATCAAGCGAGTCGTGGCGACCAGCATTACTTGTCCTTACTAGTGTTTTTATTTACTAATCCTTTTTTTAACAGCTGAGAGCGTAGATCTTCTGTTCATCGACTTACATACGCACACTTCTCTCTCGAAAATTGAAATATAAAAAAATCATGCTTTGTAAGGAACATTTACTATAAGAGTATACACGTTCAATCAACTAGCTTCATATAAATCGGATGACAGATATCAGGTTTGTCCGTTTTCTAACATCGGTAGTGCAATGCAAAATAGCCGGACGCCGACGATGAAAAGGCGCCTCAACAATTCGAAATCAGTAGGTAAAGACATGCTGAATCGAATAGGTCAAGATTACTGATGAATACCTGACATAATACATGAGCTCCAGGTTGAATGTTACTGGGTTATATCAAAACGATATTATCTTTCCATTATTAAAGAATATACCGTTGGGTTTGTCTCTCACTCTGAAGTTCAATTTAGGGCTATAAAGGATTAAAATTACATTCATTCCTAATTTTTGTCAAGGACAAAGACAAAGAAGGTCAAGTCTATGCCTTCACGAGACTCTATTATCTTCAAAATATTGATCTAGACTTTTCTCATTGTATATCAATACTTTAGTTTTGCTCGATCGCTTTGTTTTCTTGTGTTGTCTCTTGTTATTGATCAACAGATGATTTATCATATGGTTTATGGTCCGATTGATCATGTTCACCAACTGAACAATATGAAAGAGAGTGTGGGTGTGGGTCTTATCTTCATCCATCGACACATACACACTAAAAGGACATATTCAATTTGATTTAAATAAAATGATTAAAACATTCAAATGAATTGTCTCAGGACATTTTCTCATTAACATCGGTTGGTTATATTTAATCCTCTGTCTACACCATGATGAAGACTGCTTTAGACTGTTTGTAATCAATTTTGTTTCTTTTTAAAGCATCCTATTATGATGATGGTGATATCTTTCCATGAATCTTTATGTCTTCAGGTAACATATTAACTAGAAAAAAAACGGTAAATCTTTCCGAGGTGAAAAAGTAGACAGTGTTGAAAGAAAGACGAGTTTTTTTGACAATAGTGTCTAATACGATCTTGTCATGGTGAGAATATCAAAGAATATGAATTACGCAGATGTTATCAATGTCAAAAAAAGATAGGAGCATTTAGAAATTAATGTTTAAATTTTAAAAGGAAAAATAATACGCTTTTATTAAGACAATATATCCGTAATATAAAATATACGCAGCAACAAAACTTTTTAATTATGGTAAAAAAAAATGAATTTTATTGTTTGATTACAAAACATTTTCGAGCAGCTAAATCTATCACGAGTACAGAGTAATGCTTTTTTCAAGTGTGGATGTTGATGTCTATGATCTCTTCAATGACACCTACATCCTAGTTATGACTACTCATTTGTTGCTAGCGAATTAGTCTGCAATATCTATACGTGATCAAATGCATTTAAATCACGTAGTAATCAGTAGTAAACAATCGATTCGCTCGTTTTTTAAGATGTAATATGTATTGGTATTGACCACTTATTACATAATAGTAATGAGAAGCGTAACAATCTGATTGCGAGCATTCCTCGTAATGAGTCTCAATCATGATTTTTTATATATTCTCACTGTATCTTTTCATCAATATTCCAGTAGTACGATAGATCGTTAAAATAAATATCATTGTGATTGAGAGTAAAAAGCAAGACTTTCTTTTATTTATATATGTACGAGTAACATGTGTGTTCTTCAGCGAAGAGAATTAAATTAGTCTATTTTTACATTGTTTATAATTGTAAAAAAAGTTCGAATTTAGTTGTTACAACGAGTTTCAATAATTATCTGTTTCTTATTTTATCTCTTTTTCTCCTCGCCAGATAGAAAAGAAAAAATTTTTTTTTTCTTTCTCCACTAATAACTTGTTTATTCTTTTCTTTTCATGTCTTCATTTCTATTCCATCTCATGTAAAGAGTAGTTGCCTACGTTAGCTATCGACTTAAGTTTTAGTTCATAGTTAGAATCAATGTATATTTCAGTATAAGTAATCCATATTTTTATGATGTATGTGAGAAAAAAACACACTCAATGCATATAAACTAAAGAAGTTCTGATATCAATCAAGTTACAGTGATCACTATATGCAAGGTAGACGAATTGTAAATACTAGAATCATTTGTCAAGAATTAGATTAGTAGGATTCTAATAGTTGTTCTTCAGGTAAAGCATTTAATGATAGGTGAATAAGCTATAGAAAACCTTATCATTCAAGAGAAAAATGGATAGAAACAATCTTGTAAAGATGACAATGTCATTTGCAGAATAAGCCTCGAAGTTTCCGACAGTTCTTAGTTCACATAGAATATCGTTGTTCCTAATAAATGGATTGTAGTTTTTTTTAAGTGTTAGAAACTTGTTAGATGATTACTGTTTCTCCATTTTCTCAAATTAATTCTTGTGTTAATTGTAATATTTAAAAATACTTTTACCTAACAATCTAATTTATTAGTTATTTTGAATATGTACCTTGAGTTACTGTTATCCACTTGTGTATTGGTAAATAGAATTTAAGGATTCAGCAATGTAATATCTCCGAAACAAGAAATTAATATTGATAGTTTTCAACACAACAAGATATTTAAAGTTCATACCCAAAAATGTTTTTTCATGTAACTACATTATTGATTGATCTTTATTAACTGATTCTTTTTGATATGACAGTTGACACCATCTAGGTTTTATTTCTATAGATTTCGCAACGTTTCTTTACCTATCCTAGGAGAAAAGTCAGTTGATAAAATAATGAAGTTGTTCGAAAAAAAAACATTTTTGGATATGAACTTTTGGGAGACACTTTGTACATTTGTCAATTCATCGTTTAAAAGCCATTTAAGCCTTCAACGTATCTGCTCGAGATATGACGAATAGCATCATCGCAGAAGAGACTAGTGTATAAGACTTGCGACATACCAATTCAACGATGATAGTCAACAGAAACCCTAACATTTTATTTAGACTTCAAAGGCAACCGGTTATTCATCTGAGATACTTTTTAATTATTAATGTGAGGTGTGATCGAAGATACAAAATAATAATATTGCAATATCGTTTCACAAGAGATAGCAGAACGTCTTTTTCAATAAGTTATTCTTTGTATATAATGTAAAGGATTACGAGAACATTTTAGATTTTCTTTTAAAGGATGTCTAACTTTGCTATATGTGACATGTGTTGAATGGTTGTTCCAAAATATACTCTAATCTTCTTTGTCAAGTAAACATTGACGGATAAAATAATTTGATTTTAACTTTTTGATCCCAATGTATCATGTAGATATGTGTATACTTTTTTTTTCTATAAAAATAATACAAATCTTGAGAATGAACTATTTTCGAAATAAAGAAAAAAAAACATTCAAATACGACAATAAATAGGATTTATATTCATCAGATCACTATGACTTTCTCAAGATTTATCTATTGCAAATAAATAAACAATATCTTGGTATGATGAAAGTAGTGTCGGTATCTAAATAAAAGCGTTCATCATTTTATCTGAATATTATCAATTTTTTTCTTTAATTAATAAGTCATTAGTGAGCAGTAAATTTGTTTTTAGTTTCTTCAAAAATTTCATATAATTATCATCGTAAGTCTCATATTACAAACATATATAAAAATATTAAAGAACATGAAAAATACTTCAAACACTGACTGTTACAGTATGCTTCAATTCTACATGTAATGACAGCTTTCTTGTTTGGCATAAGTATACTTTTCACTTATTCTTTATTGTACAGTTCGAAACTCTTGCATATAAACTCAATAGAGATTGTAT